GGGGGCTCCGCGGGTGGGGGCGGAGGGGGCGGGGGTCGCACGGGGTCCAAGTGCAAAGGGAGGGGCTTCTAGGAATATCTGGGTGAGGGTCAGCTCCGGGTGCGGATGTGGAAAACAGACAGGAGGAGGCGGGAGTTGGTTCAAGAGGAGGCGGACCGCAGGTGGGAAAGCGGAGGGAGAAGGGGAGGGGTCCGGATGGGGGGCGGTGGGGTGGGGGATCCGGCGCCGCCCCCGGCTCGCCGCCAGGGAGGCGGGACGGAGGGAGAGACGCGGACCCTGCCGACGCGCTCCCGCAGCCGGCCCAGCCCGGTCCCTGCGCCCCGCCCAGGTCCCTAGGCCCTCCTGTCTCGTGTGTCTCTCTGTCTCTGGGCGTCTCTGCGTCTCCCGGTCCATGTGTCCCGCCGGGACCCTCCTCCACCGCCCCTCCCTGGGCCCAACGGCGGGTCTCTGGTCTCGAACGGGATCTGCCCCGGGTCACGGTCTCTCTTAGCCTGGGTCTCTCTCTACGTGTTTCATCGTGTCTCTGCGTCTCTGTCCCAGCGTCTGTCTCTTGCTGTCCCCTTCTCTGAGCCTCAATTTTCTGGGCCAGCACTTATTTCCTTCGTCCCTCTGCCCAGTCTCCGTCTCTGTCTTCACATCCCGTCTCGGTGCGGCCCCCCTCCCGCCCCGTCTCCTCATCCCCGTCTCTCTCTACCTCTCTGACTCCGTGTCTCCATCTGTGTCTCTCTCCAGGTTTGCTGTCTACAAATCTCTGTCCCTCTGAGTGTCTCTGTGTCTCCCCCCACCCTCGGACCCCCACCTCCCTCCCCGGGCCCCCCACTCTCACTCAGGCCCAGGTGGAGGGGCGAGGGGGGGGGGCGCTGCGGCGGGAGCTGTGTGTTCCCAGCGCAAAATAGACTCCTGTTGCCATGGCGACGCGAGCGCGGCCTCCGAGACGCGAAGCTTCAGGCTGGGGGGTGAGGAGGGGGGACACCTGGATCCGGAAGGCGGGGGCCGGGGGCGCCGACGCCGGGTCCCACGGGGTCCTGGAGGAAGGGGGAGGCTGGGACTCCCGGGTCCCTGGGGAGAGGGGTGCTGGGCGCTCGGACGCCGGGGTCTCAGGGACCTGGCCTTCTGTGAGGGGTCTGGGATCCAGGGTTGGGGGGGCTCTGATTCCCCGGTGGGGGACGGGCTAGCTGAGAGCTCTGAGTCCCTGGGGGACTCAGAGGTTGCCTTCTTAGGTCCCCAAGGTTGGGGGGGAGGTGCAAGGACTGCGAACCTCAAGGGGCACAGGAGTCCTGACTGGGGGTCCGTACAGTCCCGACTCCCAGATTTCCAAGGGGGCTGCAGAATTCAGGGAGCCCCCATGTGGATCCCCAGACTTCTGCGTCTTAGGGGAGCAGGGACCACTTAGATGAAGCTGTTTGTCCTTCTTCCCATCCATTCATCCATGCATCCGCATGCCTGTCTCTTCCTTCCTCCCCGTCCCCAGGTCCCCCGTGCCTCAGTTTCCCCCTCCGCACCGGGGTACGGTCGCGCTCACCTCACTTTCCGGATGCGGGACCCTTGGGGGGTCGGGGGTGGCGGCGGCGTGGGGGGCCGGCCGGGGGAGGCAGAGCGAGCGCGTGTCTGCGAGCCAGCCGGGCTGGGCGTGTGCGCGCGCGCTGGTGGGGGGGCGGCCGGCAGCGTGTGGGGCGACCCAGGCCGGCAGCTCCTTTCCAAGCAGATGCGCGCCGGCTTTCGTGCAGATGTGACAGTGGCCAGTGCTCGCCTTTGCCTTGCGCCGGCTTGGAGCTGAGAAAAGGCACCTCCCCCTCCCCACCTGCTGGGGACCCCTCTTCCTTCCGCCCGCGGCCCCCAGTCGCCCCCAGGATACCCCCCAAACCCAAGAATGGTTCGGTCCACAGCCACATCAATGTTTATTCTGCGAGTCCGGGTCCCACACAGTCTGTGACTCCCCCTCCCCTCCCCGCCCCGTGAAGTGGCCCGGGGCCGAGCCCCGCCTCCAGCTCCCCTCGGCCAACTCCCGCCCAGCTTCCAGGAGGTCCATTTGCATTTCCTGGAGCTGTCGCCCAATGGCAAGGCAGTACCTGCCTCCCTTCCCAAGAGGGCGGTACTCCTGGTGGATCGCACCACTCTTGGGATCCAAGGATGGGGGGAAAGCGCTTTCCCCATCCCGGTGACAAGAGGGTGGGCTCCCCTGGAGGCAGGGTCGGTGTTCACTGGAAGAGGTGGTTCTGGCCTTGGAAGAGGCCCAGCAGCCCGGTGTCCGGGACAGGCTTCTTGATGATCTCCTGGATCTGTGGGGGAAGAGGGGAAGTCAGGAAGAGTGCAGGGCCCCTGTCTCCATGACAGATCCAAGGGACACTTCTCCATTTTCATCTCCCTTGTCCTCTAGGCAGCAACCGGCCAGACCAAACATTCCCGCTTCTCAAAACTTTTCCTGGGGCCTCCCTTTCACCATAACTGCCTGGCTTAGCTCCTGACCACCTGCCATCTTGGTCAACTTTGCTGGCTTGGACCACTAAGGATGACAGCTCTGTCCTGGGGCTTCTTCTTAAGTAATCTCACCTCTCCCATCCGTCAATTCCCAAATCCAGGCCGCCTTGCCCCTCAACTCCAGAGTCTTTTATCCAACTGCCTCTTAGATATCGGTTGTCACTTGACCTCTCAAACTCGCCATCCTCGCCTAGTCAGTAGAGGGCAGAGCATAGCTGCGGGAGCTGAAAACCTGGCGGCTCTCGCGGGCTGCCATCTCCTACATCGGAGCCATCAGCAAGCCAGCATGCATACCTCCAGAAAGTGAAAAATACAAGTAAGCAAAGCCGGCATCCCCACTGCCTCCTCTCTGGTCTTCCTCCTTCCTGCTACCGGCCTGCATCATTGGCCACCCAGCACCAAACTGCAGATCTGACCGTGGCCAGCTCCCCTGCGCTAAACCTCCGTGGCTGCCCATCCATCGCTAAAATCCCGAATCTTCTAAAATCCCAAATCTTTGGGACGACTCCCTTGGGCTCCTCCCCTCCTCCCACAGTCAGCCGGTGCTCGCCATGTGCTGCTAGGGTCCCTTGAATAAGGCAGGTGCAGTCCCACCTCCAGGCCTTTGCCCTAGCTGTTCCCTGTGCCAGGAACACTTTTGGATGCCTTCAAATCTCTGCTTCAAGGCCACCCCCAGGAGGGGCCTCCCCACTCCTGGCCGCCCCCACCCTATTTCTCTCACATACTCTGCACATTCCCTTCCCAGCTCCAGGCCAGAGTGTGTAATTGAATAGACTGGGCCTGCCACAGTGGCTGGCACACAGTAGGTGCTCAATGAATGTTCCACAGAACTGAACAAGGAGGGCCAGGAACGTCAAGTTCGAGCATGTCACATTATCCTGAGGGCCAAGGTGTGAAGCAGCGGGGGCTACCTGTTCAGACCTGGGTACCAGGAAGGTCACTTGGGTGGTGGGTGTGGAGGCTGGACCTGAGTGCCAGAGATGGGAGGAGGGGATGGAGGGGAAGGGGGGAGGGGGTCAAGGGGCTCCCATCTACAGGGCCTCTGATGGACTGTTCTTCCCTATGTCTGCCTGGCTTGCTCCCATCCTCATTTCACTCTAAATCACCTTCTCCCAGGAGGCCTCTGGACCACTGTGCAACCCCTCCTTTCCCCCTGACATCCAATCCCCTCCCCTGCTTTCTCTCTCTCCACAGTCCTCATGGCCACCCGACAGCGTCTCCTGTCATGGATTTATGGTGTTGATGGGCTCTCCCCCCCTAAACTTAGTCCCCCTGGACGTGGCAGCCTGCCATGTTCCCGGGTGTATTCTGCGAATACATGGTGTGTGCTGAAGAGATATCTGCCATTTGGAGGGGAGGCGGGGGAGGTCAGGGGCCAGTACCTCCTTGAAACGGGGGTGGGTGGCATCACCCAGAAGCTGCAGAATGAGCCCTTCACTGGTGGAGAGGAAGGCGCCGCTCTGCCGCATCCGGGCCAGTGCCAACAGCCGCTCCACCTGGCTACAGGGGGAGAGAATGTCGCTGCTGTGGCCTGGACATCCAGACTCTGGCAAACTCGGCAGAGATCCTGCCCCCTGGTTCTTCCTGGGCGCCCCACCCGCACCTCACATGCACCCACCCCTCGCGGGACCCTCTTACTTGCGGGCGGAGCAGGCATCCACCACCACGTGGACCTGCAGCCCCCGGTCCAGGAGGTCCAGGGCTGTGTTCTGGGAGCAGAGAGAGATTAGGGTCAACCCCAGACAAGAACAGGGGTCCCTGGTGAGGTACTGGGGAGCTGGGATGGGGATGAGGGAGGCGTGGATCCGGGCAGGAGGCCCCCAGGTTACAGCAGGACGCTAGGCAGGATGGGCACCTCAGCTAAGGAGAGGGGTCCTGAGTGAGGATGAAGGGCCCAGGTCAGGAGGGGGGTCAGGGGTCAGGAAAAGGGTCTTGCCAGGAGGATAGAGGGTTCTTGGTCAGGAAAGGATCATTTTAGGATGGGAGGGTCCCAGGTGAGAATGGGGGCTCCTGAGAGGCAGTGAGGGTCTCACCATGATGCAGGCCTGTGCCTCGATGCCACAGAGGAGCACAGAGCGCAGCTGGGGCCTCGAGTCCAGCTCCTGCCGCACCACGGGCACCATGCTGAGGCTGGTTTTGGGGAATGGCCGCAGGCCCTCAGCCCCCAGCTCGGGCACCGTGGCACCCAGGCCTTTTGGGTACTGCTCCGTCAGCACGGCTGGCACCTCCAGCATCCGGGCTACCTGTGCCAGGGAAGGGGAACGAGCGCCTGAGCCCCAGAGAGGGGCCTGGGGGCTCAGGGGCCTGGTCTGAGGGAGAAGGGACCCGTACCTTGAGCATGCGGGCGGCCACAGAGACAATCTGGGGGAAGTACGCGACATAGCGGAACTTCTCCTGCATGTCGCACAGGAAAAGGATGGATGATCCAGGGAGGAGTCGGCCCACGCTGGGCTTCAGAGCCGCCATGTCCTGGGGATGGGCAGAGGGGCGAGGTCAGGCAGGGAGAGGGCCCCTCTGCATGTCCAGGGTCCATGCACTTAGACCCTTGATGGCCCGCAAGGTGCTTCACAAACTTCTTCCTTCCTTCCTGCAGGCCTGTGCATCTGCTGTTTCCTGGGCCAGGAGGTACTTCTTTCTCAATGTGTCCTATTTAGCCAGGAGGTCACTTCCCTGGGAAGCCTTCTCGGACCTTGTCCACCCCCGTGCTCCCAGCCCCGCTCTCCCGGAGCCCCAGGAAGCCTTCTCCTTCCTGGAGACGTCTCAGTGTCAACATTACCAGCCTCCCTGCCACATCACAAGCTCCAACTGTGATCCTCACCCGCCCCCAGGAGGAACCCGAGGCTGGAGCAGAGGAGTGACCTGCCCAAGGGCCCACTGGCGGGGATGGGGTTGGGAGCGGGATGTGATTCCTGAGGGAAAAAGAGCTGCATCCTCCTGGGCTGCACCGCCTGCCTCCGCGGCCGGGGTGGGGTGGCAGTATTCTGGATATTTCAAGTTTGACTCCCCTACTTGGCCTCTGAAACTCAGTCTACTCATGTATAAATCACGCTGGCTGAACGCTCCCCCAGGTCTTAGAAGGAAAGGCTGGGGTACCTGTGCAGAGGAGTATTATTCAGCCTTAGAAGGAATGAAGCGCTGATACACGCTACATCACGGATGAACCTCAAAAGCATTATGCTCAGTGAGAGAGGCCAGTCACTCAAGGCCGCACATCGCCTGACTGCATTTAGATGACATGTCCACAATGGTCAAACCCACAGAGACAGGAAGCGAACTGGCAGTTGCTGGGGACTAGGGGCAGGGTAATGAGGAGGGACTGCCTAATGGGTGCTGAGTTTCTGTTTGAGGAGATGAAAACGTTCTGGAACTAGAAAGGAGTGGTGTGGGCCGGCCCAGTGGCATAGTGGTTAAGTTCACGGGCTCTGCTTTGGCAGCCAGGGGTTCTCTGGTTTGGATCCCAGGCGCCAACCTACACACAGCTCATCAAGCTATGCTGTGGTGGCGTTCCACAAACAGAAATAGAGGAAGATTGGCACAGATGTTAGCTCAGCGACAATCTTCCTCAAGCAGAAAGAAGACTGGCAACAGATGTTAGCCCAGGGCGAATCTTCCTCACTGGAAAAAAAAAAAAAGTAGTGGTGGTTGCACAACATCATGTATGCACTTAAATGCCACTTAATTGTGTACTTTAAAATGGTAAATTTTATGTTATGTATATTTTACCACAATTTTGAAAAAAGAAAAAGAACAAGAACAGGCGGGGCTAGGGGGGCCCTTACAGGAGAGGACAATGAGGCCTCGGGGCCAGGACTTGCCCAAGGTCCGGCGACTAGAGGCATGCCTGCCTCCACGTCAGAGTGGCTCCGCCTCCCAGTGTCTGAGTCTCGAGTCTCAGTAGGTCCCCACCTGTGCCCCCGGGGGGCTTGTGTCTCTGGCTCCCTGAGTGCTGCACTGCTGGTGGTTCCAGCCCAGCTTTTGTCTGCAGCTCCCTCCTGCTCTGCGTGCTCACTCACTTATCTGTTAATTTATTTGGGACAGAGGACACCCTGGGGACCCACCCTGTGGAGGGCAAGACGGCTAACAGTCAGGGGTAAAGTTTTACAGCTGGGTGGAGAGCACACACAGGCGTTTATGATCCTTCTTCCAGCCGAACACATCTACAACAGAAAATGTTTCCTATATGCGACATAGCTGAAATTTAAAAACTAGTGGATGGTTGGAAATGGTGAATTTTATGTTATGTGAATTTTATCCCAATTGAAAAAATGGAATGGAAATTCCCTCAAAAACAAAACCACACTAAGTTAATTAAGCACATAATTACAACTGTGATCACGGGGGGATTTCTAGGGAATCTGATGTGTCTCGGCAGAGTCAGCAAACTTCTCCCCGAGGAAGCGAAGACAGAGAGAAAACAGTCTTCTTGAAAGCACAGATCTGACGTCCCGCCCACCCAGACCGAGCCGCCCAATCGGCGCTCCCCCCGCTCTGCCCCAGCCAATCCGCTACTCCCCTGACTCGCCCCCAACCCCCGCCCCCCCGCCCATGCCTTCCCACTGGCCTCAGGAGTAAGGGGTAATGCCTCCTGCAAGGCGCCGGGGACGCTCCAGCCAGGCCGGCCCCGCCCCACCTCAGGGCTTCTGCCGGTGCAGCCCCTCCACCTGGAGAGCTCCTCTCGCTCCCACCCACCTGTTAACGCTTCAGGAGCCGCGAGGGAGGGTCAGGCGGGGCCCGGAACGTCCGAAAGCCTAGGACAGATGTCTGCAGCCCCTTGGGCTGGTAGGAGACCTATGCAGAGCCCCGAGGGAGACCATGTGGCCACATTTCTCCAAATTATAGATACACGAACCTTCTGACCCAGAAAACTCGCTGCTAAGTATTTATCCTGCAGACGTCCGTGTGAAACGACGCAAGGTTATTCACTGTGGGACTCTTCAGGAGCAGAAATAAATCTACATGTCCACGGTGGGAGTACTGGTGACGGAGGTTTCGGTATATCCGAAACCTTCCGAAACTACGGAATTCCTTGCAGCCAGGAAAAATGACAAGGAAGCTCTTTAAGTAGCAATATGGAAAGGCGTCCAAGAGATGTTAACAGTGTGGGAAAAATGCCAAACAGTGTGGATGGCAGTGGTCCCATTTATGCCAAAAAAAAAAAAAAAGATGTGTGTACTGCTTATGTCCACATCTGCTGCCTCCCTCCCCCAGGCACACAAGGAAAAAGTAGTTCAGGGGGCAGAAGCGGTCCCTGAGGACAGAGTCTGAAGGAGATTTGACTCGTGTCTACCCTTCTCCTTCTGAACTGTGGACAATGTGTAACAGGTTACATAACCAGGAATAGCTACAATACTGTAAAATAGCTACATAAATGGAGAACCAGCAAAACTAGTGGCCTTGAAGTTACGATAATGGTTATCCTTGGGGGACGGTGAAGGGGGGACAAGGGGGAATTCTAGGGTGTGGGAGATGTTCGACTTCTGGATTTGGATGCTGTTTCCACCAAGCATTGGCTTTGTGAAAATTTATTTGAGCTGTGTGTATTTGTGATTTGTAGGTTTTCCTGCATATGTAGTATGCTTCCATAAAAAGTTTTCAAAATGAAATAAAATGAGGAGGCCTCACTGGCCACTGTGGGGCTGGACTGGAGGTTGGACAGGGAGAAAGCTGGGGCTAGGGTCCAGGGGGGCAAGGGTGAGGCCTGGGCTCCTGTTCAGGCAGAGGGGACAGAGAGGAAGGGGCAGGATGGAGAGATTCAGGGGGCAGGTGGGACTGGTTTGGGGAGGCAGGAAGACCCCTAGGTTTCCATCTGGTGGGTGGCAGGTCTCAGGGACTAGCCGGGGACCTGGGGAAGGGAATGATTTTGGGAGAAGATGAAAAATTTGGTGGTGGGGGGGGAGTGTGTGAGTGTGAATGTGGGGAGGGAACCTGGGTTGAAGACAGATTTGGGGGCGTCGTGGAGAGTGATGAGCAAGTCCAAGACGGCGCTCGGAGGAGGAGCGGCCTGAGGTGGGCGTCAACCTGGGAGGCGGTGGGGCTGCTGAGATCCCCACGTGGTCTCGTGGTCTCGGGGGGCCCAGCCCTGCAGCCCGGACTCCCCGGCTGTGTGACCGGGACAAGTCGCACGGTGTCTGAGCCTCAGTTTCCTCCTCGGAGAAGTGGAGGTCACACCCACCCACCCCGCAGGGATGATGCGAAACTTGGCCCGGGGAGCAGAGGCGGCGGGCGCGTCCCTGGCAGCCGACTCCCCAGGGCCGGGGCGCAGTCCTCCCCCCGGCCGGGCGACCTCGGCCCGGGACGTCCCGGCCGAGCCTCAGGCGGGAAGGTCGGGTCCCCGCAGCGCTGGCGGGCGGCGAGGGAGGCTGGCCCGGAGGGCGCCGGGTTCGAGCCGGCCTGGCCCTCCGCAGGTGGGGCCTGGGAGACACTCACCTCTCGGAGCGCGGACTTCCACCTCTCAGGTCCCACAACCGAGTTCCCGAGTCGGGTCACCGCTTCTCCCGGTCCCGGCGCTCGGCCCGCCGGGCCATCCCAGCGCCGTCCACGTCCCGCCCACCGAGACCGAGCCGCCCAATCGGCGCTCGCCCTAGCTCGGCCCCGCCCCTGCTCTCGGCCAATCGCAATCGCCTCTGCTTCGCCCTCCTCGGAGGGGCTGTGCGAACCAGAAAGGCAGCGCGTCCGACCAATGGGGAGCCGCGGAGAGCGTGAGGGGCGGGCCCGGGGCGGAGCCGCGATGCTGGGGCAGAGAACGCGGTGTCCAGCTGCGGAGGTGGGTCGCGGCCCGCCGGGTTGTACAGACCAGACCGCTGAGGCGGAAAGAAAGGGAGGGAGGCCGTGCCCAGGGCAGGGGCAGGTCTGAAGTTTGAACCCTGTCCCTTCTGTCCGGAGACGGAAACTTACAAAGAGACCCAGGCACCTTGCAGGAACCTCAGTCCCCATCCACCCGGCTCAGTCTGTGGTCTGTGCAGCCGCAGTTTCCCCATCTGTGCAGCACCTGCCTCGAAGGGTGCGGCTTGTGCTGTTTAGACTCTGTGCTTGGGAAGGGGGTTGAGAGAAAGAGACGGAGGGAGGATTTCCCATCAGTCTTGGAATAAATTCCAAACTACTCCCCATTCGTGGTCTGCCTTTGTCAGCCCCTGGGGCCGCACCTCTTACCACTCTCCCCCTGTCCACTCCAGCCACGCTGGCTCCCTTGCTGTTCCCCCAATGTCCCACCTCAGGGCCTTTGCACGTGCTGTTCCTGTGCCTGCACCCCAGAGCTTCCTACCATTCAAGGCCATCCCTGACCACCTGACGTCAAATAGCCACTCCATCAGGTCGCTGTTTAATTTTCCTCACAGCACTAATTCCAATCTGAAATTGGAAATTCATCTTGCGTTTTAAAAGTGTATAATGTATCCACGTCCTCATTTATTGTCAGTTCTCCACCTCCCCACGCCCCCAAGGCCTGGGCCTGGCACACAGCAGGTGCTCAGTAAATCCTTGGGAATAAATGAGACAAGACCAGAC